ATTGTTCAGTGTCACTGTTTTTAAACTTACTGTTTTAATATTTATGTATGGTGTCACTGTTTAGTGTAACTGTTTAAATTATACGCATAAACAAAGTCACTTTTAGTATAATTATAACAGTTTTATGTAACTATTTAGTGTAATCGGTTGAATTAAACACATAAACAGAACATGTAATAGCCAGAATATACCACTTGTGTAACTGTTCTATATGAACAAACACAACTCAAAATTTCATACTGAAGGAAATTACCCTCCGAGCCAATACCAATTCAAATTTAACAGGTACTGAAATTTAATTTTGGTTCAAAAATTCTCGTCCAATTAATTAAGCGAATTTTCTCCAAAAAAAATAGTGCTTGGTCACACCCACACACTCGTGCCTGAGCCCGGTAGAGTCGGGTCAAGTCATGGCGAGTGACACATGCTTGGTAGAATCGAAGGCATGTAAGCACTCGTTCTGTTCAAAAAATTGTAGTACCTCTTGAGGCTCAATCCCATAGAGTAAATTTGGCCTATATATGCCCATTTAAAATTTCTTCCTCAACCAATATGAGATTGGTGTCAAATCTCATATTACACAACTTCTATTTCTACATTTCAAGAAAGTTACTTTGGAGTTTATTTTCTCATTTATTTCTTATTCGATTTGAACAAGTGAATATACTAAATTATTCTCCTCACGGAGTAAAATACAAACCCATGAAAGTTTACAACAAACGGGTCTCACTTCAATTTAGGCTCAAAATTGACCAAAAATTCAGTTTTTACACTTAAAAATTTATTTTAGTCCAACAATACTTTATTATATAGTATATACCACCATGAACTGAAGCAGTCCATTAGATAGTCTAAAATAACAGTCCAGCTGAAACAGTCCAAAAAACCACCATGAACTGAAGCAGTCCATTAAACAGTCCCAAAAACACAGTCCAAAAAATTGCCCAAAACAGTCCAAAAAAAAAAACAGTCCAGAATAGTTCAGCTGAAACAGTCCATTAAACAGTCCAGAACAGTCTAAAATAACAGTGACGTGAACAATAACATGAGAGATATTCCTCTAGATTCCAGAGTAAGGATGTATGGGATTCATTTAGTAAGCAGGTGTGAGTTATGCTAGGAGGAGGGGGAGGCAGCAGAAATGCTGTTTGTGGATTGTAAGTATGTGCTGTGTCATGTGCTGTGTTATGGATTGTAAGTTTGGGTATATGTTGTTGTGTTATGCTTCTAATCAGTTGTTCTGTTGTGTTGAATGTACTACTGGGGGAATTTTGGAGGAGTAATGTGGCTGACCTGGGGTGATTTTGAAAGATTAAAGTGTAAATAGCTTGTTATTGGTTATTCTTTGTAACAAATTTTTTGTTACTTGAAAACTGTAATTCTATTTTTCTTGTAACAGAATTTCTGTTAGGTAACAGGATTTATGCTTTTTGGCTTGTAAACAATTTTTTCTGTTTTGTTGATTGTTGTAAATTTTGAGATTCATTCAAAAAAATTGCATTGTTGGATTAAAAAAAAAAACAAGGGCAACAAAATATTTACACCAATAGACTATTAGATGTTAGTGTAACATATATTTCTTTAGCCTTTTTAATATGAAAAGTACTTCTTCATAAAGGTGATCCGTGTCACCAATATTAAACAGCTACATGTTTACTGGCCATGCAAGTTTAAGTTTTCTGGTCAACATTGTGTCTAATGCAGCAGCAGCAAAACATCTAGTCCAAACCAGTTACAGACTATATGATAACTTTACATTGTAATTGGCTTTGTTGTAGGTATAACATGCAAACTAAAATAGCTGAGCAAATTCGTTAAGAATCGTAACCTAACTTGCAAAAGATAAAAATTTATAGCCATTAGGGGAATAAAAACCCAGTTCACAAGGTCATGCATCTAACAGAGATGCGAATGTTTGACAAACCTCTCACAAAATTCTTGGCATCTAATATGGATATGAGGTTTTCAACATGGCTCTTTCAAAGTATCTCGACAGAAGGCAATGTACAACACATATATACCTATGACATTGATGCAAGCAGTGGAATATGCAGCGATACTACCAACAATGTTTTGTTTTTTTTTTCTTTTTGATAGGAAATAGAAGTATTGACAACAATTTGCTCCCTAAATCGGCAGAATATCTATGCAGGCATAAAAGCAATTAATCCTTCAACAAGGTATAGCCAATCACCTATGCCTTTCTTTTTTTCCTTTTTTACCTTTTTCTCCTCTAACTCTCTTCTTGCTTTCACCAATTAAAGGTAAATATATGACAACACAAGCGATAGGGCACTATTATGCCAGGCTAATAACAAGTCAAAAGTGTCCTCATTGTTTCATTGGGATGTGGATGAAACACCAGGTAAGATCTTATGCATTCGGTGGTAGCGTTTTACAAAGCAACCTAAAGTCCAACCCCTAAAAATCTTATGAATATTTGTGGAGTTCTTTTTATTATGGCATAAGCCAAAGCAGTTTGATTGCCTATGACTTTACCATCTATCAAAATACAATCAAATACTTCACACCACACACAGAGTCTACTTTAGAAGAAAGCTTGGTGTTAGAAGGCAGGCTATCCTCTAAAATGAGATCTACCTAATGGCTAAGGAGCAGTTTGTTCAAAAAATAATGGTCAATGAGCATATTAGGATAACAGTTCCAACGATGCCGAAGATTAGTTTCTTTTTATACGTCAAAAATGAATAGCTTCAAATTTGTAAAATTGTTGTGGATGAACAAACTTATGCACAATGATCGAAAACATCTAACAACTTTAGGAAGAAACATCAAATACTCTTTTTTTCACTCTATGCACATTTGCAATAACATTACATAGTTGAAGCGATATCCCACAAATGAAAAGCAAGTTGGACAAAATTACCACAAACCACCTCAGTAAAGTCAATTAAAAAGTTTCCATCAGCATAATACAAATACTAAATCAACCTGACAATACCAATCTCCACCAAGGTCTAATGCAAACTGTCCTCAGTATGTAAAATTCATGTTTAAATCAACAACTAAGAGACATGGCAGTTTGGAACAGATCCAAATACTGAAACAGGAGCGCAACTGGCTACAATTTAAAAAACTTCCTTAAGTTGGGACAAATATATACTCACAAATATATCCAACAAAAGTCCTTATAAAATTTGGACAATACATAATCTCATGACTGATATGAAAGAGCAGATACTTGCATACTATCAAATCACACAACCACCACTTAGATAAGATCGAGTAGTGTCAACCCAATCATAAATGGGTACAAACCCAGATAAAAAAATCAATAAAAAGGATGGGAGAGATAGAGAACAATTAAATAACCTAGATAGAGCAATCAATAAAAAGGATGAAGACAACATACCCAAAAGATGAGGGACGACTGAAATCTGTTATAATACAGAAAGTAATTGCCCACAATCGAAGATTGATGTCGTCACTCTAGTAAACGGTAGTGGCAGCAGCAATTTGGAGACCTAGGGTTTACTCAATTTTTAACAAAGAGAGAGAGGGAGAGAGGAGAGTCGATAAGCTAAAGAAAGAATTGATCATGAGTGTGAGAGACGTGTGAATATAGGGGGAGAGAGAGGGGTGCAAACTGTCAACTATGAAGGGAAAAAATAGGTTTTTATTCTTTCATCAAATATATTACTAAATTTATAGGGAAAAAAAATTATATTACTAAAACAGTAGACCCGACCCACAAAATAATATCATTTTAATAATAGATCCACAAAACAACGTGGTTTTATGTAGATTAATTATCACAACAAGTCCTCAATGTAACACAAGCGAAAATATTTGTGACAGAAAAAACTCATGTTGCAAAAAATAAAATTTTATTGTATTTGTTGTCACGACAATGGCTTCCCATTGCAAATAAATCATTTTAAACGATGGCATTAAGAACAGTCGCAAAAAAAAAATGATGCATAAATCCAAAATTCTTGTAGTGACCGAAAATATGATAGTGAATTTTGAGGTAGACCATCCCAAGCTTATCATAATATAAGCATCAATTTGTTTGTTATCCTTTTAGAAACGATAGATATTAAATTTGGAGTAGACTATTGAAACTCTAATTTGACATATTAATATGTGGCTAAATTTGTTCATGACTTAAGTTTCACTAGATACTACACCAAATATTTAAGCAGAGTTTATTTGTATAGTTGACATTATTTCATAATTTTTATAGCAATAATATATTTGATATTGAAAATGATCCACGTGCAATGTACTTGTATACAAAAAAAGAAAAATTTAAATTTACATATCTATATCTATATTTATCTATCTATACTACTAATAAAATTATCTTAACATAAAAAACTTTTAATTCATTATTTTACCCTTATAAAGAATTTTAAATATCATATTATCCTTTCATAGTTAAATTACCATCATATCCTTAGTGTTTAAATTTCCAAATTACTCCTAATATCTCTTTTAATTCTCTATTTTTTATGCATAAATATTAATATCAATAAAACTTTTTAATTGACTATGTTACCCTTAAAAATAAGCATTGATTAGAATATTGACAATCATTATTATTTTATTCAGTGAATTATATGTTGAAATCTAATTAAATAAATTTTAAAATGAATTATTTTATCGTTTTTTTTTATAGTTAGAACAACAAATCGTTGATAACAGATAAATATTTTCAAATTTTATAATGTAATATGAGCGATAGAAATATAATTTTTATAAACTTGATATGATATTTAATTTTGATACATATATATCTAATTTTTTTTATTAAATTTTATATATAAAAATTATTTACGTTCACGGTGTATTACTAATTTAAGTAAAATTACTTTAAAAACAAATGTTACAAAACCTAAATCCCTAAAACAAGCATCGTATTTTTATCACGTTTCCCCGCAGACAAAGTTTGTCTTTTTTGCAAGGTACGAATATTCCAAGTGGTCACCGGAACTCTCTGGACGGGCTCTCTCTCTCTCTCTCTCTCTCTCTCTCTACAAACTGTGTTGCCAATAAACAAGATCTCGAGGTCGAGCCACCGAATGGCTATGCCCAGAACTCGCTCGGGGCGATCCACCTCGCTCCATGACTCGGACAGTAGACTCTATGAGTCGGAGAAGATTGACGCCCTCGAATGGACAAAGATCGAAGTAATCCTTTCCTCCCTTATTCCTAGGGTTCTCTCTCCCCTCTCTCTGTGTCTTCATTTCAATACGATTCAATTCACCTCATATTTATAGGTATATGCAGTTCCTGATTTGGTTTAATTTTCTATTGTTCGCAGCGTGTTTCTAGGTCTGTTCCACTAGGTGTACTTCAATTCTTGCTCGAAGCCGAACAGGTCATAGTAGAGGTAGGTGCTTTGAAATTTCTTTAGCATTGGAAACAATATTGTATGCGGGATTTCGAGAATGAATTAATATGAATGTGAAAAATTGGAGGCAAATTTATCAATAATTTTGATTTGTTTAATTACTAATTTGGATTTTTTTAGCATTTTAGTGATCATGAATAAGAATGTTTCCCAGAATTTCTTTGGATGGGTTTCTGAAGTGCATGATTTTCGAGTTGCAGAAACAACCTCGCACATGTGGGGAGTTATTCAAACTATTTGTCCAATTTCTTACTATGACACGTTTGGATTGGTAAAATGGTTCAATGGGCTGATGAAAACCTTTGTTGGTTGGAAATTCTTGGCTTGGGATTAAGTGGGTATCTTTTCCAAGGCCCGAAAATGCACTCTAGCCTGAACACCCAATATTCCGACTTGGTTAAACCCGTATGGGATTTAGGTTAAATTGTTTGGAAAAGGGCAATATTGTTTAAGGACTCGAAATTACCACTTGATGCCAAATGCAGATTCCTTTCAATCCACCATTTTTTTAAATCCAATTGAGGACAAAGGATAATTAGTCAAAAGCTCTACTGTGCTTTCACAAATCTTCAAACCACATGTGACCCCCCCCCCCCCCCCCCCAATTGCAAGTGGAGATTTTTTTTTCCGATTAACAAGCACAAATTTATCACAAACTACTCACCCAACATCAATGCAGATCACTTGACAAAGCATCACAGGTGAGTCTAGAAAGCCAACATATCCAAGCCCTTGTACTACTTCCAAAAGGGCCTAACCTTTGAAGGAGTAGATGGGGGTGTATCAACCAATTGAAACACTCCTGCCGCAGCGATATGGAGTTTCAATCTTTTTTTTGTTAACAAACACAAATTCATCCCACAAATATAACAAAAGAATTGCATTTAAAGACAAAACAATGCACATATGGACAAACAAAATGAGAATCAGTTACTATATCAGTGAAATTGTGTCTTGTCCAAACCCTCTTTAAGCCTATCTCTGATACTATGTGAAACATCTAAAAAAAAGCTTATTGGAAATGAGTGGAGAGACTCGTACGGCTCACATCCTAAGGGAGGTGTTATTTTACTGATGTGGGACAACACACTTGACTAATGGTCAACTGTTAAAGATGGTCCAGTCAGGTCTGCCAAGTGGTTTCTTTTTTCAAGAGACTTTATGGATCCTTCATTGTAAGGTAAGATGTACGTAGACGATCCTTTTAGGGAAATGGCTACTTAATGTTTTTCACTTTCTTGTAGTGTATTGAGGAAACAAAGAAAACGTAATTTCTGTGGATAAGAACCCTTAACTGTGACTTGCCTCGTTTTTTTGATGCTACAGATTTGGTAAATTACCTGTATTATAAAGGCAATGAACTAGATGGATCTTGCGACTTTGTAAATTATTTAAAATTCTTGTTGATCTTCTCATGACTTCCAAGATTTTTGCTGCCTCTATAAGGTGTTTACCTCGTCCTTGTTGACCATAGATGATGGCTAAATTATCTAAGTAATGTTTTTACTGCTTTCCAGTTCTTTCTTCTTTTTTATTGTCTGGCCACCTCGGCTTACTGCATGACTAGGCTTACTGAGGTATTGGAGTTTGCTTCTAGGGATATGGTGTTGTCCTCGTTAATACTGATGAGGCTGGTACCTTGTTCGTGACAAATTTTCGTCTTCTTTTTTTGGTAAGTGATGCACATCCTGTGTCCCATTACTTCCACAGTTTGTTATTACATGTAAATTATAATATGAATCTACAATTCCTTCCATGGACGAGGATTAGCAGTCTAGTATCAGATGTTTTAATGGATTTTTGCTAGTGCATGCTCTATTAATTGATTCTAGAATAGTTGAGAAAGGTAGCAGTGAAAAGCGCTCAAGTTTTACTTGCTTTTGGTTCTCCAAAAAAAAATGTTACTGTTGGAATTCAGAATTAGATGTTTGATATCCTTTTGTTGAACTGTCCACCTTGGGGAAATTTTGTTTGTTTTTATTGACAATTTCATAATTCTCTTTCTATGAAGGAATTTTATTTTATTTTCATTACAGTTTGCAAAATGTCAAGCATCCTTCCCCAGTATAATCCAAAGTGATTCCAGTTCTACATTCCAATTACATTTTGGGTGGGATTATGAGGCAGTCATTGGTTTAGTTGAACTTAAAGCCTCGCTGAATGTCATCTGTCACCATTCCATTCTGCAATAATTAAGGACAAACGTATACAGTTGAACTCTTACATTTCCGAGCGCAAAAGATTCCTGAGTTATTCTAGTTCTAGGGTCCATTTACATGTTGTTTGGGATTATGAGGCAATCATGGGTTTTTTGTGGAACCTAAACCTGTCTTCTTTCGTATTTTCTAATAATTAAGGACAAACTCACATGGTTGCACTGTTTATCTTTCTAAGACTCGAAGAGAAGTCTAGTAGTGAACTTTTACTAAAAATCTCCACTATTGAGGCCCCTTTGGTTTAGTGGTTGTAGAACTTGGTTGTATCAAGCAAACCCTAACATGCCATAAATGTGCAGTACAGTGTTTAGTGCTCCTCCCAAGTGAAGTATCTAGTAAAGAACAAGCTCTACTGATGGATCACAGATATTCAGGCCAAGGGCTTTTAAAATGTCCGTGTTTCAAGCATTAATGTGGCTATTTCTACATAATATTTTATGTCCTCAATGTTACGGAAAACAGAAGAAGAGGTTACAAGTTTGTTTGATTCATTATTTTCAAATGCTTTTTTAGGAAACTGAGTCGAATAGATCAGCATTCATGGCACTTTTATTTTCTTCTTGGAAACAATATTAAAATGGTCCAATACACCATGTTCCTTAATTTTTTTATGCTCTTGCAATCGAAGCTTCAGAAACTCATCTTGTTTCCTTGAAAACTCTACTAAACAGGGCCTAGGTTTCTTCTGAGCTATAGCCCAAAAGTAAGCCTTGTTAGGAGGGCCCCTGGTCTGTGTCACTTGTTAATGTGCTAACAAATATGTCCGAGATGTATTAGCCCAAATTTGGTCGCCATTTCAGTGGGGCTTGTAATTGGTGATTCTTTGCTGCATTTCAGTATAAGCCAGGGGCAGCAATGCTGTGATGGACTTTCTTTCCAGTTGACATGGATGATTTTGCACGCTGCATCCCTGCTACAGTGTCCACATTTCCGATTTGGGATTTCCACTATACCCTATTTAACAAGTCAAGTGTTGCAAAATTTAACAAGATAAATTTTGTTTGAAAAGAAATTCAAATTTCAAAATTTTTTTAGTTATTCCCTCGCATTACCAGTGAGGGAAAATACAATAAATAAAAAGCGTGTAGCAAGAATTGGTGCGTTCAAATGTTTTTTTGAACTAGGTGCCAAGTCGAAGTAGTGAGGGAAAATACGATAAATAAAAAGCGTTTAGCAAGAATTGGTGCGTTCAAATGTTTTTTTGAACTAGGTGCCAAGTCGAAGTGAAAGATTTATAGGGATGGAGGGAGTATACATTTGCAGCTTCACGTTTCAAAATTTTTCCATTGATATGCTTCGTGAGTGGTCTCAACTGCACACGCACATGCATGCATACATACATAGGTAAGTGTATGCAAATTTTTGAAAACGTATGTATGCATTTATATCTGCATGATTATGTTACTTGCAACTTGAATTGCATTTAGTGTTGATCTATCAATATATCATCCTTGTTTCTAGGAATTCAAAGTACTGCATTTTCTTTGAAAACTGTTTTCAAAATTCAACTATTTATGTAAATTATTTGTGCCAATTTTTTAGCTCCAGGATGTATCTAATTTGTTTTTTCAACTTTTAAGAGTGAAGGGTCCAGAAATATTATCACGCTTGGCACAATACCATTGGCGACAATTGAGAAGTTCAACAAAATTGTAAGTTTTTCACATGTTCTATTTGTTCTTGTGTGGATAATAGCAATATCATAAAATATCCTACAAGATATTAGGAAATTAGGAATTTTGGATGATGGCACCTCAGCAAGTACAAGGGCCTTTCTGCCAAAGTCCCTACACCAGTGCAATAGGCCTTTCACCAACCCCAACATGATCCAATTGGCATGAACATAGTGAAAAGAGAAGACCACAAAAGTCTATCTACAATACTGAAGTGATAGATAATTCACATTCTCAGGCTTCCTTGCACATACAACACCATCAATGCAGACCCTATCTCATCTCCTTCATTAATCAACTGTTAAAATTGCATTACCGGCTGGCAACCTTCTTAGAGCCATAGTAGTCCACGTAGCTTTCTGCTGGAAGGCCTAACCCCTTCCCCCACTGAGCTGGGCATAGGAGACTTAACAGAGTAAACACCACTATTTGCCCCCTTTTGACCTCACCCATCTTTTTTGGCTTTACTCCCATAAGGTTTCTTTATTGAAGGTTGCACTAAATCAACCTCCCAATCCTTTGAATTCTGATGAGAAGTTGGTGTGTGGCCATGTTGGCTCGCTTCTGACAACAAAACTACCTCAGCCGCTGCAATTTCTTTGCTACAGGGCTGAAGTTCTTATATCCACCCCCCTCCCTCTATCCCAAAAACAACGACAACACAACCGAAAAAAAAAATCATTAAATGATAGTCTTGTTCCTCACTTGGAGTCTTGTACCCTCCACAGAATGTCCCTTTGGAGCTTCGCAATCTTTCAACTCCAAGGTTGGAATGATTAGGAAAAACTTTAACTCTTCCCTGAAATCTACTCAACTTTCAACATTAATTGAAACTTAAGTGAAGGGAAAAAGGAAACCCAACTAGCAGTAGCATGATTATATTTTGCTATTACAACACTTTGGGCATGGAGTTATTATATCTTCTTGTTATGTTGCGGTAATGTAGGTCATGAAACTTCCATCTGCCCCCCGGCAATCTGACAGGTCCCCATCGCGACGACTTCTTCAGGTCACTGGTATGTTTTCAATAAATTCCTGATGCAACTTTTTGTGCCATCAATTTTTTTTTTTTTTTTTTGAGATATTGGTTATTCTCGTATGCTTTAAGTAATATATATATCAGTTTTTTGGGGGATGAGAGTGAAGAGAAACGACAAATGAAATAAATTTCATTGATTTGACCTTATGGAATATAAAAATCTATTGTCTCAATAAGGATACCGGTCGTTGTCGTGCCTCTGGTGATGTGGGTGAGGAGATACTGATAAAATATTAGGAGTGGAATTGCTGGAGGAAGTTCAAATCAAAGCATTCTTATAGTGGAAACTATTTTTGAGATATTAACATGAGAGACTTGCGCCCAGTCGATGCTTAAGTGCATGTCTCAAGCCTGCATCTGTGTTTAAAATTAATAACCGTTTGGATGTCAAGCACATGTTGAGCTTCATGATTGACTTGTTTTTTACGTGTCCCCTGTGTCTTTTTGTATTTGTGAAGATTGTGATGGACTTGTGGATTCCTATTACATTCTACAGGCAAGGATATGCGAATTATTGTCTTTGGTTTTCGTCCTCGAACCAGGCAGGTCAGTTATAAGTGTTGAAGTTATATGTGTTCCAAAACTTCTAATTTTATATGGAATGCATACCAGAAAGGTGCTGTTGGCTGTAGAATATTGGCTTGTTTTCTTAGCATTATTTTTGGTATGTGAAGTGTTCCACAAACACCCTGACCTAAAGAATGGGACTGGTTTCTGCTTACGTAAAAGCACAAAAGAAACAAATAACTTCCATCAAGTCTCAACTATAATTTCTTTGTCCAAACTCCTAAGAACTCTACAAATCCTTGAACTCTTTGAATTTAGATTTGTTGCGAATTTACACTGCTTGTGCAGTTTATTTTTGAAGATTCTCGCCTTTTTTTAAATCCTCGGCCTGTAAAAGGCCATTAAAGGACTTTTTCATCCAAACTAAGACCAAAGACTACAGAGCGACCAATTGACTTGACGTTGTCATCCATATATGCTTCTTTTTAAAAGAATTACAAGTGGTGGTGAAGATGTTTGCTTCAGATTAATCACAATCTAAGATTGCATTGTTTTGATGTCCTTATCACTTAGTTGTTCTCTTGTACTTTTTTCCCGTAAGTGACTGTTCTCTTGTATGTATTGTGTTTGGTTTGTATCTTATAGTATTAGTCACTCCACATTCTACTCTTGGCGAAAGAAACTCACTGAGTCAATGCATTTCTAGACATCGTTAGTCTCAAAATATCATAACTATTTTATATTTGCACTTTGTAAACTGGAAGAATGGTTGATCATAAATGTCTGGGAATTCCACAAGGGTCCCCTCCCACTGGCATGACCTGGGTATAGGCAAAGGTGAAGTGGTGGGTCTATGGATAGGGCTATGGTGGGGCTATGGTGAAGTGGTGAGTCTATGGATAGGGCTGTTAAACAAACTGATCTATTAGGACTCAACTCTTTTTTTGGCTTGTTCTGAGCTATTCGCAAGCTAGCTCATTTTTCCCATTTATTCATGATATATGTGTAAAGACGGCCTACTTTCCTTTCTCTCTCCCTCCCTCTCCTTACAACAACTATAGCCTTGAGCTGTGAACCCCTATTCTAACTTCCATCACCAGTCCTCTCTCTCTCTTTCTCTCTCTGCGTCATCTTCTTCCATTTTATCCCTTTTTTTTTCTAAGTATCCATACATCCTCTAACTCGCTTCTTCCATTTTCGTAAACCCATCAACATGCTTTCTTTCAAACAAACCTTAGTATGTATCTTTCCAACCCTTTTTTTTTTGGAGTTTTTTGATGTTAACATCTTGGATTTGGTACGTAGAAATTATAGATTTAGAATTTTTTCTAAGTGGCTCATTTTTGGCTCAAGCTCGGTTCGAGCTGTGCTTGAACAAAAATATAGGCTCGATAACTGAGCTCGAGCCGAGAACACCCCTTGAAGAGCTCCAGACGAGCTTGAGCATAACTGAGCTTAGAAGGCTTGGCTCGATTAACACCCCTATGACTATGGATGCTGCAAGTTGTTTCTTGCACATAAGAGAATTGATGTAGTTACACAAATTCTACAGAGGCGCGCTGTATTTGAAGCCTTATTGAGATGCACAAGGCCAACAAGACTCTTGGATCTCTATGCTTTTGCTTCTGGTCCTTCAAGATTTGGTAACACCAACCCTAGAGTGCGGTTATTGAATGAGTACTTTCGGCTTCTTGGAATGGGATCATATAATGCTTCAATCCGCCTTATTGAAGATGGGTCATTCACATTGTCTAATGAGTTGTGGAGAATTAGTGCCGTGAATGCGAACTATACCATGTGCCCAACATATTCATTTGCCTTGCTTATTCCAAAATGCATCAGGTGAGGCACATATTCATCCTTTTCTTGTTCTACCGTTTCAAGTTGTTTGAAATACGCATCTTTTACACTGAATCTCTGTACCTAATTACTTTCCATGGCTGCTGATGTTAGCGATGAAGAGGTGCTGCAGGCTTGCACCTTTCGTGCACGGTGTAGGTTGCCTGTGATTTCATGGTGTCATCCAGGTATGCATTAGGTTGCATTTTGTCTTGACCTCCATTTACTGCCTTGATTCATGAAATGAGTTGTAGGGACTGGAGCTGTTCTTTCACGGTCATCTCAACCACTAGTTGGTCTTATGATGAATATGAGGAGGTAATTTTGTATGCATCAAGTTCAAGGTGTTGTTTTTGTTTTGACCGACCAATTATTATTCAAACCGGACAGATTGATGGTTGATTTAGTGAAAATCTGGAATTGGTAGCTTGTAAATTCTCTCATTCTTTTCTCTCCGAGAAATTGTCCTAATCCACTTCTGCATTCTTATTTGCAGCAATGCTGATGAGAAGCTAGTTGCTGCCCTTTGCACTCAACTTGTTGGAGCAAAGGAGCCCCGGAGGTAACCTGGGTTTTTTTCCTTTTGTGATTCAACACTCTTGTTCGTGGCTTTTTTGTTGAGTTTCCTTAGTTGTATATTGTGTTCCTTTTTGTTTCTTAATTCTCATATAAAACTGATTATATATCCTCCCTACTTATCCATTTTTCAAAATTCCTTAAGGTTATCGAATCACTTGTTTGATGGGATTTTGTGTTCAGTTTCAGTATAACATGGGCCAACCAAAGATAGTTATAATTTTGATGTGCTCCCAGGAGAGGTTTAATGAAGTACTTTATTTATCCTGTTAGGAAGCTATATATTGCTGATGCAAGACCTAGAAAAAATGCTTTGGCAAATGGCGCAATGGGAGGTGGATCAGAGTCTTCTTCCAATTATTTTCAATCTGAGGTCTGTCTAAGGTTTGAACTACCTGGTGATGCAGCATACTGCACAACAATGGTTCTGTAATTTGCTAGGTTATGCACTCATGATCTTTCCTTAAAATCTGTTTTCAGATAGTTTTCCTCGGGATAGATAATATACATGCAATGAGGGATAGTCTTTCTCGGCTTAGGGACTATTTAGATACTCATGGAACCACTTCATCAGATGGAATGTCATCATTCTTGGTAAGTAGTGCAATTTTTTGAAAATCACATTTGCAAAATGCTATAAACTAAGTTTAATATGCTTGAGATTGGCGATTGATGCAATTTTTATACATAAGGTTGGGTGTGTGTACTTTAAATTTTTTAATGGAAACAATTTAGAAAGATATTGTAAGTCGGTAACAGTTGCATCTATTTTTCGTAGATAATTTGACAAGTGTACTTAGGTATTTTGTATCTAATAGTGTCCATTGAAGGATAACATATTTAAATTCCATGTGGTCATGCAGAAAGTAGAGTATGTAACTTACTCGTGGCACACATGACACAACTGTGTGGTACCTTACCGCATCACATGTGGACACTCAGGAGTGTTCACAGGGTTGCTTCAGCTAGAATACAGTTCTTTAAAGCTTCCTAATGATTTCGTCTTTTCCTTTGTTTCCCCTTTTGATTTCTCTTTGACTTGGCCCTTTTTGATGGTACTTTTTCCACGTTGTGAGAATTATTGGTTCAAATATGCTTTGTGATTATCTGGGCATTTCTTAGAAAGTTAAGTTGACGATTTCCAATGCCTTTCTACTGAAATTTAGCGTAATTATAACACTTCAGTAATCTTCTGTGCCATTTTATTGATAGAGACATGGTGGATGGACTTGGGGCGGGGGCAATCTCAGCAGTATGTCTGCTTCAGTATCGACCCTTGGAGACACTGGTTGGTTAATACATGTTCACAATGTCTTGGCTGGTTCAGCTTGGATTGCTGCGCGTGTTGCTTTGGAATCAGCTTCAGTCCTTGTTCATTGTAGGTAAGAAAACTTTTGATGCCCTTAATGCTTATATTTGTGATACTTGTGCTGCTTTTGTGATGATAATCAAGGTTATTCAGTCGGATTTTTTTACCACACGTCTGATTTTCCTTGAGTCATTTGAATATTATATTACCAACTAACCAACAAAACCAAACCTTGTGTCGCAATCATTTGGGGTTGGCTATATGAGTCCGTTTGCGCTATTCATTTCGGTCACGTGCTATATGCTCATTTAAATTAAATATTTTCATATTTTTTCTTATTATTTTGTTCAATGTTAATTTAGGTCTACCCTAACTCCTAATACCATTAATAGAAATTCTATTACTTTTTCTAATTAGTATCTCTATTGGCCTCCGTTGAACATGACCATATCATCTTAATCTATTCTCTCTCAACTTATCCGCAATTGGAGCTAGTCTTACCATTTCTCTAATACGGTTATTTTGTATTTTATCATTTCTAGTTTTTTCACACATACATCTTAACATTCTCATTTTTCGCTATACTCATTATGTCATTATGTTGTTTTCTAGTTGCCCAACATTCTGTTTTATACAACATTGTTGTCCTTATAGTTGTTCGGTAAAACTTGTCATTCAATTTTATTGGTATCCTTCTATCACATAATATGCCCGAGACTTTCCTCCACTTAAGTCAAATGACGTTGATTCTATGAGTTACATCGTCTCTAATCTCTCCATCATTTTTAATAATCGATACTAGATATCTAAATCGTTTACTCGTTGGTATTTCTTGAATTTCAATCTTAACTTTTTACTATGTCTATTTCTTCTATTACTAAAATTGCATTGCATGTAATTAGTCTTACTCCTACTTATTTTAAACCTTTTTGACTCCTCGTGACTATGTTGGGCAGTACGCTCTGCTCTCTCGCGAAGTGTCTTTCTCCAAATTTTTGGATTATTGTTAATCTCCATTCCAATTTCATTTATTAAAACAATATCATTTGCAAATAGCATGCACCATGGGACATCATCATGAATGTGCTCAGTGAGTTCATCCATAATTAGGGCGAATAGATATGGACTTAAGACTGATCCTTGGTATAATCCCACTGCGATTAAAAATTCTTTACTTTGTCTCACAGAGGATCTAATTGTAGTTATAGTCCCGTCATACATGTCCTTCATCACCTCAATATACCTATTCGTCACTCATTTTCTCGCAAAGACCCTCCATATTATATTTTTAGGCACTTTATCATACGTCTTTTCAATATCTATAAATACCATATGGAGATTTTTTTTCTTCTCTCTATATTTTCTATGTGTGTCCTTAATAAATATATTGCCTCCATAGTTGATCTATTAGACATAAACTTAAACTGATTTTCAAAATTGTAGTCTCAACTCTTGGGCAACGTTCAATGACCCTTTCCCATAGTTTTATTGTATGACTCATTAATTTTATCTTTTATAATTATTACAATTTTGAATATCTCCTTTATTTTTATAAATAGGTATTAAAATACTCATTTGAATATTATATTATCTCTTCTAATTGAAGGTTATTGTTGGATGACTATGGTCTTCTTATATTCGTCCATTAGGTTGCCTCCCCCCCCCCCTCCTTCCCCTTTCTCTCGCTTTCTCCCATTCCTTCTCCTCTTTATATCTCTGTTTTTGTCCTTTTTTTTGTGGGGGTGGGGGAAGATTATATTGTTGAACAGAGATTATTATGTGGTGTGCTCCAACCCCAAGGTCAAATTTCCTTGGTTTGTATGTAGATTTTCAAACATAATGTTTAAACCTTGAATTTTCACATTATAGACATAAAATATATACAGACAGAGCAAAATTAAGAGCTTGAAAGTGGCAATTTAAATTTTCTTTGAGCAGAAACGTGCCAAAGCCTTTGAATGTCTTTGTTAGTGTATATCATATTTTCCCATTTCTTGTATGGGTATAATTACAAGTATGCATGCATATGGATTATGGATATATGTTGAGTAAATCATATTACTTATAAACGAATGCAGCTTTAAATTCAAATATAAATGGGCTTTTACCAAAGTATGTAGCAGTCAAGATCTAAAAGTATGTTGAGTAGCAGAGCATGAGAAACAAGATCAAAATTTTGTTTCGGTGCATTGTTTCGGTCAATCAGGAAACGGAAACATTTCGATGCGTTTCGAAAATGTTTCGTTCCGTTTCGGAAACAAAATAAAAAAATAAAAATTTGAGAATTATTTTTTCAAAATATTGATCAAATATACCAAAATATCTTGAAATATTTTGAAACATTGTGAAATAATTGTACAAATATATTGAAATATAACAACATTTCGAAATATTATGGAACACCTCGAAGTATTAGAATTTTGATTCCATCAATGATTCGTTTTGGTCTCCTTAGAAACGGAAACGTTTCGGATGTTTCGAAACAATATTTTAATCTTTGATGAGAACGATGTCATTTTCAAATTTTCACGGGTAAAGAGAAGCACATAAGGAGATGTTATGCATCCTTTTTCTGGGCATTCTAGAGATGCCACTATTTTTGCATCTGTTAATCACCTATTTCTGATCATTCCAGCGTTTAATGATTTAATCATTCTCACACTTTTCGTTCTTGCAAAAATCAAATATAGGTTTAGGTACTTAGGTTTATTGATGTTTACCTAGAAGCTTCATGTGAGTGCCCAAGACAATTTACGCTTAGAAAGTTGGATTTTTTATAGGAATCATTAATCTATTTGAATGTGATAGAGGAAGACTAAAGCTCCCCCTGTTTTTTGCGCCATTTTTGTAAGGTCTGATTCTTTGTTTACTTGTAATATTATTGGTCTTAACAAATGAATTAAGGTGTATCTGATGTTGTAAATCCGATATGATTATAACTCT